TCACTATATGGAATCATCAATGTTGGGGGTAACGGGTTATAAGTAACGCGCATTACATAATATTATTACTTTTCCAAAGTAACAATTAAAGTAATGCATTACTTTTCAAAATACTGAAGTACTAAAGACGCAAATAATTTCATGACAACTCCGTTCAAATTAATGAACTAGTTTGACCGGCTCACTCAGAAGATCGGGTTAACAAATTAATTTGCGAATCACCCATCATCACTACAAACAGTCAGAAACATAAACAATGGCAGGCTGGAGACTTAAATGTTTTTGCAATGGATTTTTGTTATTTTGAACACTACTTTAAAGCAAAGAAGTGGACTGTTGTTAAAAGTAGATTTTGTTTAAGTAAAACTCTTGACAACTGCAAGAAACAAAAAAATAAATAAAAATGAATGCAAAGCACTACATCCGCACCCCACCTCCAGCTAAACAACGAATAATTGACATCAGTTCACCTTCTCCTGGGTAAACAATTAATTTGACTAAACAAACAAAACCAAATGGTTATTGCTTTTATTGTTGAGGAGATACAGCCACTGTCTACTATAGAAGCGGCTAAATTTTGCAATATCGTAAGACTTTTTCAATGGGAAACGATTTACACATTTGTTAAGCCCACATGAAGCAATTTATTCAATATAGAAAGCTCACAAATGTATTTAGATTTAGGGATTTTTTTATCGCCTTACTTGACATTTTGTTATTAAACTTTTTAAAGGTTAAACATCTGTTTTTGCCTTAATGTTAAATATTTCATGTTCGTACTCTTAGGCTTTATTATCTGACTGAACAGTGAATGTACTTAACCAATAACAAAAAATTTACAAAAGAAGCAAACTCAATACTTCACATGCTTTCATTAATCTGTATACATCATGTATAGCTATGAGTTCAGAAAGTTCCCAAAGTATAATTTTTGAAACTAAAATGAAGAAGTAGGTTATAATGGTGGCTCTTAAATAGAGCGTCACTATTAAAAAGGGTAAAAAAAACACCTGATAGAGTTCTGAAAGAGATCCAACCGCAGCCAGGTAAGGAAAAGTAACACAAAAGTAACTCAAAAGTAATATAGTGCATTACTTTCCATAAAAAAAAGTAACCAAGTAACACAATTAGTTACCTTTTAGGGGGAGTAAATCAATTTTGAACTTTCCCAAACACTGGAAATCATTGGCCACCTTAACCACACTCAAAAGGCCACCAGCTCCAAATAGAATGACTAAAGCTTTTGGCATCCAAATTTAGTCTAAAATGTAGATCATGGGAACGCTATGGTGCATTGTGAATTCAAATGCCCTCTCTTCGTAAGAAACACAGTACAAACACAGACTTAGTTTTTTTTTTTTTTTTTTTTTTTTGCATGTCAGACATTCTTTTCTTTTGTAAGTGGTCAGAATAAGGTGCAAAACGCCGCAGGTCCAACCTCTGGCTATGTGGTGATAGCTAATGAACAGTTTAGCCAACCACAAACCATGCAAAACTAACCTAACAACCACATTCAACTTGTTTTTCCCCTCAAGGAGAAAATACATGGGTCAAAAATAAATAAATAAATAAATCAACTGTAAAAACAGAAAAGAAAATCAGGCTTACATGTCCAGTGTCAAGAACACTCAACCCTCAGCATTAACACTTGTCATTCAGCATTCAGAGGAATAACTTGTAAATAATAAAAGTTATTAAAATAATACAAACATACACCCCTGCCCAACAAGTACCTTTACAGATCTTATTATGTTTGTAAAGGTCTTTTTCATAATGCTGCTTTCTCGTTCTCTCGTGAAACTATTCATTCCTCCTAGTGACAACAGCATCCATCAGTTGTCAGGCTGACGGAAGGCTGGGAGTTTGGGAAGTGCTGAGATGTTTCAATGATCCCTGTTCAATTTCCGTCTGGCCGGGGTCTCCGTCAGCTCTAACTGAACAGAGACATGATTCATTGGCGAGATGTCTAGGTCACTTTCACTGTTAGACAAGACTCCCAATGCACAGCCCTTGCTTGTTAGGCCACGAAAACTCAAATCAGCTAGTTAGTACTGATCTGCATGGAGCAGGTATATACTAGTGTAGTGGTTCTCAAAGTGGGGGTCGGGACCCCTCGAGGGGTCGCGGGACAATGATAACCATATAAGAATGACCATATTTTATCCATAAAATAAATCCAAAAAATAGCCGTCTATAGTTACTATATACTTTATAGTTACTATAGTAGCTTATAGTTACTAGTTCTAATGGATTGCGACCTCTGGTAATTACATTATATTATATATACACAGCAATAGTGTCAGATGCAGCACATTGATTTTATTACACCAGGTTAAACCTTCTGGTCCATTTATAGCACTGACATTAAATGAAGAATATACCTGGGTGTATTTGTGGGTGTGTGGGTGTGTGTGTGTGTGCCATTGCATGCAAGGTTTCTGTATTTAGAACCACCTCAGAGGATATTGGGGTATAAAGGATATAGAGCATCATTATGAGCATTTTACGTTATAACTAACGTGGTTTAAATGATGGAGTCCATTGCGATCAATTTCTGCCAACAAAAAGTTAACCTTTTGTCCAGTTTGTAATCAGAAATTCACAAAGAAAACATGAAGACACTTTCAACCAGCACAACATTTTTTTTTTTTTCTGAAGACATTCACCAACTGCACCTTTAAGTAAAAAATACTCATTAGTACTACATGTATTAGTCTCACTAAGTGGGTAAAAATCTGGTTTCCCTCGTGTATCATCGTCCTTATGCACACTCACAGTGTTTAGCATGTAGTTTTGTGGCTGTTGGATCAAAAACAAAAGCTGCCATTCATGTTCATACAACAATGTCTTACATTTTACACTGAATTCTGTTAAAATCTATTGATTTTTTTAATTATAATTTTTAAAAATATATTTAAAAAAAAAATTCTTTAGCTAAAATAAATATTTATCATATTTGATAGTAAACTTTTTTATTTTGGTTTAGCTGCTTTCATACACAATTTATTATTTTAGTGGGTTTTCTCCATATTTTGGGTATTTTATTTAATTCATAAACATTAATTCTGTTAATACATTTATTTTATGCTAAAAGCTACATACACACGTGTGACAACCTACAAAACATGTGCACGATCTTTTATTCACATGAAAAATTCAGGATCTCATTAGAAATGAAGGAAAGAAATCTCAATGCATACATTTTTTAGAAAGTGATTGTTTTAGTACAAAATGTACAAATCTTTGCAAAATAGCACTTTTTTCATGGTATTAGATTGAAAGGCCAGAGAAATCCTGAGCACTATATAATCGGAAGTGGACAAAAGACTTTTAACCCTAATCATTTGAAGCCATACTTTCGATCTGGAATGTGTCTCTGTTGTTTACCTGCGATCTGATCGAGCAAAATTTATCATATTATTTATAAATAGGACAGCATCAGTCATGGTAAATTCGCCGTCTTCCTCTGTCTCATCTGCGTCATCATCCTTGCCTTTTTCAGAGTAATCTTCATATAGCTTACCAGGGCTGGAGTGGGACTCCTTTTCAGCCCTGGAGTTTTAAGCCTTAAACCAGTCCACCTCAGTTTACAACTAACTATATTAAAATAACGTCATTTCCAATTATTTCTAATAACACCATTACGTCTTTTTTATGGAAACAGCTGCTTCAGAACTACAAATATCTTTTAGAAATATGAGAACAATAAGGGGTAGCTAAATCTCCAAAACATCACAATGTCCTTTCCTGCAATATTTGAATATATATTCTGTACAAAATTCTTTATAGATATCAGTACTTTGTAACAGTGGTCACACAAAAAAACAAAAAAAGAAAATATGTACACCTATATAAGTAACGCAAACAATATTATATGTTTTAACACTAAAAATGATAATAATAATAATAATAATAATAATAATAATAATAATAATAATAATTTACTTAAGTAAGGTTTGAGCTAGGGTTTGCGGCGTCATAACGCAACATGCTGACCACTGGACTATAATGGCGCTGCTATGGGCTTAATCTTTTTCTCCCCTTTAGATTGCTGTTCAAGTAATGTAAGACTTATTAATGTAGTGAATCATCTGATTTTCATTGAGCAGGTGTAATATTCATTAATATTAATTATTCGAATTCTTATATTCACTAAGGTGCTGATGTTTGAGGTGGAATGATAGTTATGCCATCATTAACCTGCAAGCTGCATTTTGCTCACAGGCTGCGAGAAAATAAATAAAAAGAGCTGAGCTGCGGCAAAATAATGAATAAAAAGAGTGAGGCTATAGTCAAATAAATAAATAAATGCAAAAAGTGTGACTGCTGAGAGTGCTAGCAGCTAGGGACACCAGTCCTCGTGGACAAAAAATGGACCGGCCTATCGGGAATTTTCCAGGTCCTCCCGATTAGCCAATTCGGGCCTGTAGCTTACATAAGGTATGTGACAGCCTTGGTTGATAAAGCCGCAGGTTACAGCATGCAATGACAAAGAATGACGACTTCATCAAAAAGGCGCTCAAATTGGGAAATAACAAGAAATAATGTAGATTGTGCCACCAAACATGAGAAAGTGAAAGTAACGAGTCTGGTTTAAAAATGTATGCAGTAGAAAGTACAGATATTTGTGTAAAAATGTAAGGAGTAAAAGTAAAAAGTTTAAAAAACTTAATCTACCTAAGTACAGTAACAAAGTATTTGTACTTTGTTAATTCCCATCTCTGGTTAAATGTGAGCAAGCATAAATCATTTGCCCTCAATCATATGCCAGACAAGTAAAATCTGGTCCTTCAGATTGAAAAATTGTCCCAAGCGCTGAATTTAAAACTCAATGTTCAACTCCCATTAGTATTTGAGCCACATGCTGCGAGGTCAAACTTCTAAAGTCAGTTAGAAGTAAAAAAAGAGAAGAATTCATTGGGCCCGGTGTGATGAGAACACAGATCAGAGAGCGAGTTTATAAGTGCTCAGCGAATTGTGCGATTCAGCCTCATTCTCACCTTCGCTCCTATAGTCCTCCTGTGAGCTGAGGGCTGAGTATCTGTGTCTGGAGAACGGAGACCAGTCCTGGCTGGATGATCCCACTCCATGGCTGTTCCTTAACCTCATTCTGGAGCTCATGGAGGAGGAGGACGAACTGTCTGCCTTCATCCGCAGCACCGCAGCATATGACACGGGTCTCCCCGCAACGGCTCTAGCAAAATCTGAAAGTAAGAAAAAGAGGGTTGTCACTCCTAATGGTGCAGATTCTTAATGCCAGGCTTTAAGAGTGTGTTCGCAGGTTTGGTTCTGTTGAGATTGCTTTAATTTACATTTAGTCATTTTGGAGATTAAAAAAAAAAAAAAAATGGAAAACTGATGATAATTTGCTCAGACACTACACAATGGACTCACAGACAGACTATAATGCACAACTAAGCTAGATATAAATGCCACTATAGGATAAATGTTGTGATGGTATTATATTGTTTTGTTACCTAAAACAAATGCAGATAATATACAAATAAATGAATAAATAAACAAATAAATGAATGAATGAATAAATAATTAAATATTTAAATAAACAAACAAACAAATAGTTAAATAAATAAATAAATAAATAAATAAATAAATAAATAAATAAATAAATAAATAAATAAATAAATAAATAAATAAATAAATAAATAAATAAATAAATAAATAAATAAATGCAGTTATTATAGTTTAGTCCAAAGTATACTTTGATTTAAATTTTAGGTCAAACCAAAGTAAGTCAATTAATTAATCATCTAAAAAAAAAAAAACATTTTGCCTTTGAGTGAATGTTTTATGTTATGTAGAAAAAAAATAAACATACAAACAAATTAATACATAGACAAATAATTGAATAAATAAATAAATAATAATAAAATAAATAAAGTAAATAAAAGAAATAAAAGAAATAAAAGAAATAAAATACTTAATTAAGAAAGAAAGAAAGAAAGAAAGAAAGAAAGAAAGAAAGAAAGAAAGAAAGAAAGAAAGAAAGAAAGAAAGAAAGAAAGAAAGAAAGAAATGTATTTTTTTTTTTTAGTTTAGTCCAAAGTATACTTGGATTTAAAGTCAAACCAAAGTAAATCAATTAATTAGTCTATAAAAACAATATTTTACCTTTGAGTGAATGTTTTTATTTTCATGCAGAATAAATAAATAAATAAAAATAAATAAATAAATAAATAAATAAATAAATAAATAAATAAATAAATAAATAAATAAATAAATAAATAAATAAATAAATAAATAAATAAATAAATATAGTAATAGTAGTAAAAGTAGTAGTAGTAGTAGTATTAGTAGTATTGCTGTCATCATCTGATCACCCTACTCTTGTTCCAAACTTGTTTGACTTTAAATAAATGAATGAATGAATGAATGAATGAATGAATGAATGAATGAATGAATGAATGAATGAATGAATGAATGAATGAATGAATGAATGAATAAATAAATAAATAAATAAATAAATAAATAAATTATTGAATGAATGAAGGAATGAGTGGATGAATGGATGAATAATTGAATGAATGAATGAATGAATGAATGAATGAATGAATGAATGAATGAATGAATGAATGAATGAATGAATGAATGAATGAATGAATAAATAAGGCAGCATGAAGGCAAAGTGGGTAGCATGATCGCCTCACAGCAAGTAGGTCACTGGTTTGAGCCCAGGCTGAACCAGGCAGCATTGCTGTGTGCAGTTTGCATGTTCTCCCCATGTTTGTGAGGGTTTCCTCAGGGTGCTCCATTTTACCCCAGAAGTCCAAAGACATGCAATATAGATGAATTAAAAAAAGCTAAATTGACCGTAGTGTAATCAAGAGTGTATGGGTGTTTCCCAGTGTTGGGTTGTGGCTGAAACGGCATCCGCTGCGTAAAACAAATGCTGTATAAGGTGGTGGTTCATTTCGTTGTGGCGACCCCCAATTAATGAAGAGACAAAGCAAAAAGAAAAAGAATTAATGAAAATAATAATAAATAAATAAATAAATAAATAAATAAATAAATAAATAAATAAATAAATAAATAAATAAAAACAACTGTATTGCATTGAAAAACTTAACTTAACTTAAGTGGAGGCCAAAGTATACAGGTGCATCTTAAGCACTCATATACATTATATATTATCATTATGTATATATATTCTTGAGCAGTGTACTCCTTTGCAGGACTAAACTATTTTACATTTTTAAGTATATATATGATTTAATAAATAATTTATTCATATTTTTATTATCTGCAGAAAATGAGTTGTTTTAAATTAACACAAATTATCACAGCAAATTAAATGAACCGCTAAAATTATTTACTTTCATTTGTGCAATAAACAAATACTTTATCTTCAACTAATAAAAACACACACATGAGAAATCTCACTCTTATACTCAAAGGAAAAGAAAGGTTGACAGTTTGACACCTTGTTCTCGTGTTGCTGCTTTCTTTTTTCTATCATCGCAAGAAAATTAGATTTGGAGAAAAAATAATAATATGTGTCATGAACATGTCATGTGCTCTTGCAAATGCCACTCACATGGAGTGAAATTAATTTAGATAGCAAGCCCTTGGTTACAATTTACGCAGATGGAAACACGGAGCTAATTATATTTCTATTATATCAAGTCATTCAATGCTGTGGGTTTAAAGTAGCTACAAATGATTCCAAATAGCCCAATTGTTTTTAAAACAGAGCCAAAGGAGGAAGGAGCTACTGAATACCTTAATTAAAGAGTCATTATACACCTGCTGAAATCTCCTATTCTGCTGTTTGCCAATTAGAACTTCAACAAAGTGACGGAGCTTTCAGCGCATCAAGCCCAAATTCACAGATGCAACGCTCAGTAATGAGGATAACCCAGCAAACGGCTGCTTAAATGCTTCGTTTTCCTCATGACGCATTCGTTTATAGACCATCTCGCCAGATTGAAGAAGGAAAGTAACCTCTGGATATTGAAGCTATCCAAGGAGAGGATCTTTATTTGTGTGAACAGCCACTTGAGGAAACAGTGAGTTGACATTTATGAGGTCCAAAGTAAAAGACTACCATTGTAATACTTGCTAGATTTGACCTATGCTGTCCTGAAGCTTCAGAATACAGCTTTAATAACCACAGCGTTACAACCACATGCTTTTAACAAGCAATTAATTACCTAAGAATATTAGTTACTCAATGAACTACTAATTAGGATTAGGCATGTACACTACCTGACAAAAGTCTTGTTGCCTATCCAAGTTTTGGAAAGAACAGATGATAACTTGACCTCTAGTTGATCATTTGGCATCAGAAGTGGCTTTTATGAAAGGTAAAGGCCTCTAGATTACGCTTATAACCCAAAATAAAATATGATCATGCCTTGATTTTTAATTATTTATTTACGACAGTAAACAAATAACGCACAGCACTACTACGCTTACAGAAACGTTATTATTCACTTACCTTTTAATACATTTTGGTGCGATTATAAACCGCTATTAATAAAACACAGCATGTTTTGAATGTAAAGCTGTAATGTAGCTGGGATCAATTTTGGCGTGGCGCCCGGCCATGAAAGAATGAATGTAGCGGAAACCATGGTGTGCATAAAATTGATAAATGATTTAGTTTAACTCTTTTCCTGCAGTTAATGAGAGAAAACGCTTCCCTGCCATAGACTAGTTTTAAGGCAATCTGTGTTTTAGGTGTATTACGGTAGGGGAAGACCTAATGCATGTGCTGAGCAATGTACTGTACCTGATGTCAGATGCTCCGGCGAGTGAAATCAGAGGGGATCTAAGATCGTAGATAAGAATAAGAATTAACATTCCTGTGGCTTGATCCCTGCTGTTTTAGATCTTTTTGTTTGACGAGACAACAAAATAAAGAAGCTTTATTTTTATGATTTGTGTCATTATCATCGTGTCTGATTGCACACCAAGATAGTAGGCATATACAGTTGAAGTCAGAATTATTAGCCTCCATTTTTTTTTTCTTTTTTAAATATTTCCCAAATTATATGTAACAGTGCAAGGAAATTTTTTACAGTATGTCTGATAATATTTTATCTTCTTAAAAAAAGTCTTATTTGTTTTATTTTGGCTAGAATAAAAGCAGTTTTTAATTTTTTAAGCACCATTTTAGGGACATATTTTTTTCCTTGATAATCTACAGAATAAACCATCATTATACAATAACTTGCTTAATTACCCTAACCTGCCTAGTTAACCTAATTAACCTAGTTAGGCCTTTAAATGTCACTTTAAGCTGTATAGAAGTGTCTTGAAAAACATCAAGTAAAATATTTATTTACTGTCATCATGGCAAAAATAAAATAAATCAGCTATTAGAAAGGAGTTACTAAAACTATTATGTTCAGAAATGTGCTGAAAAAATCTTCTCTTCGTCAAATAGAAATTGGGGAAAAAATAAACATGCTGTCTAATAATTCAGGGGGCTAATAATTCTGATTTCAACTGTATATAAAATTATTCAATTGTAAAATTGTCCACAAATTTCTGGGAAATACCACCACAAAATCAGTCATTTTATCTAAAAAAAATAATAAAATAATACAAAAAAAAAAAATCACAAAAGAAATCATGAAAAACCAGGGGTCTGAATAATAAAGAGGTAAATCTAAACAGATTTACAAAACTATTTGCAAATGCTTAATGATTTATTCAAAATGTGCAGCGATTATAAAGTGTTACCAAATGATATCAGTCTCAAAATGAGAATGCAGTTTCATTCAGGCAGATGAGGTCACAAAGAAATGTTGCTCTCAGCTTTTAGATATATAAAAAAAATATCCAAAAATGGAAGACAGGTGTCTAGACAGCTGCCTACACAGAAATCAACAGCAAAAAAACACTTATACAGAAATAAATATAGGCAGTTAGCGAATTTGATGGATAGAAAGATGAATAGATGGATGGCTGGGTGAATGCTTGATGGACAGGTGAGCAGGAAAGAAGAGGCAAGCGCTGAGGGCTGCGCAGAACAGAAGAGCAGGGAAAAAAAGGAAGAGAGAAATCCACACAGTCATATTCAGCTTTCACCTCCATGTGAAAGAGGATCTCATGGGCATGTTACTATGTTGGGAGCTTTATAGAGAAGCATGTGAAATGTACATGATTAAACATTTATAGGATACCTTAGAAAGCCTCAACACGAGTCCCCTTGCATTTCGGAGTTGTGTATGACATTCAG